TTTCTAGAAGAATCCTCAACTGGGAATGAATTAAGCCCTATAGAAAGAACGAATTTCTGCAGTTAATACAATAACAGCAACAACCAGAGGGGCTGGGGAGATAGTACAGCTTAAGGCTCTGGCCTTGCACAGGGCTGACCTGAACTTGACCCAGCCTTGGGTGCCCCCAGCCCCATCAGGAATAAGCCCTGAGCACAGCTGGGTTTGGTCCCCAAACCAAAATGTAACTAACTACAAAAATTAGTAGAAAGATATTTTCCTCATAAAAATAAGTTCTGTTCTGAAGTTTAATGTTGGCCTAAATTTAAGACCTAGTACCTAAGAAGTAGCTCTTTCCCTTTCATGACATATTGAAAAGAAACAGCTTTTCCCCCACAGCGATGCCTTCTTTTCTGCAGAACTTTGCTCTGGGCTCTGCCCTGCAGTTGTGTGTTGGTGTTAGGAAGTTTTGCCTCCTGTGGGGGGATTTTAGCATCAAGTCTTCACATTTTCTTCCTAAACCCATTCTTTCATTTCTTTCTTTACTAGTCCAGTCATCATAGCACATTCCTGTGCACAGAGACCCTTCTTTCTCTTGGGATGGTTTTCTTGCCGCCGCCGCCTCCTCCTCCTCCTCTTCCTCCTCCTCCTCCTCCTCCTCCTCCTCCTCCTCCTCCTCCTCCCGTTCCTCCTCCTCCTCCTCTTCCTCCTCCCCTCCCCTCCCCCCCACTTGTGTTACTTTGCTTGCAAAAAGGAGTTAAGAGTTAAAGGATCTTTATTTTAAAAAAAAAGTTTAAAGAATCAGTGGTTTAGAAGTGAGAATGCAAAGGGAGGGGGATTAGACACTTCCCTCTTCCAGAATGAATAATAAAGGACTATAACCTTAAAGTTGGCACGTCTGAATTTGACTCTTTTGGGGGAGCACAGCAGACCAGTTTGGGGGGTGGAGAGAGAGAGTGCAGTGGGTGAGGCGCTTGCCTTGCATGTTGCCGGCCCCTTGCCACCTCATGGTCCCTCCAGAGCACTGCCGCTGGGTGTCCATAGCCCCCCAAACACAGAGCAGAACAAACAAAAATAACGCGACATGGAAATATCCTGGCTGAACCTGGCTTCATGAATGCAGCCTCAGAGTTCTCCCCACTGGCCAGCTCCATGCCCCCTGGTTTGCTCGTTTCTGCTATTGGTGTTTTCCTAAAATTAGAACCCCGCTCCCCACCCCCATCTTGCAGTCTGCAGCCAGGGTCGAAGCTGCTGTGCCCCTTGTTTTTGAAGGCACCGCACTAAGCAGCCTAGTGCCAAGTGCTCCCTTCCCAATGTGAGGGTATTGGGAGGGTTCGGGGGCCAACCCTGCATGGGCTCCATGTGCTGTCCGTGGCCCTCTGTGCTGTCCCCGGGTGGAGACCGTTTCCCCAGTTTCCCGCCTTCTGTGGTCCCCCCTCGAGGGTCGGAAACGGCTGGTTGGTTCTGAATGCTGCCCACAGGTGGTAGCTGTTTAGCTTCTCGACCCTCCAACTTGCCCCTTGAGTGTGGATTTGGGGAGTTTCCACCCAGCGTTCTGCTGCTCTCTGAAACCCGCCTGGTCTTTGCCCTGAAGTTTAGGGTTTGATTCCAGGGCAGGCTCACTGTGGCTGAAATACTCTCCATTATGCTGTCTCAGGCCCCAACTGCTTTTAGAGTAGGTTCTGTTGTTGCACATGTTTTATGGATAAGGAAACAGAGAACAGTTCTAGAGCTTGTTTGGGTTTATACATTAAGGAAGGACTTTCAGATTGAACCCTGGGCCTCACAGTCAAGGCCTGTACCTCTTCCATTGGGCCACACCCCAGGCTCCAAGATCTGACAGGGCAACCTGACACCATCATCTTGTGACTCTGTATTTAGCCGCTGGACGAATCTTGAATCTCACCGAAGAGCAATTTCATGGTCTCGTCTGTTGGTACTTCGGGACTCACCTTAAACACAGTGTCAAGTGTCTGGGAGACACACGACAGCTTTGTTGTTGGTAGTCTGGCACGGGCAGGGATGCTCAGGCGAGGAGGGCACTTAGCTGTTGTGCTGGGGGATTGAACAACTGCAGAGATGTCCTTAGCCCACAGATCTAAGCGCGTCATGGCACCTGGGAACCAACCTGTCTTTCTAGAGGAGTTGGATTTCTTCCCTAAATTTATTTATTTATTTTCTGGTCACACCTAGCGATACTCAGGGGTTCCTCCTGGCCCTGCACTCAGGAATCACTCCGGGTGGTGCTCGGTGGACCATGTGGGATCCCGGGGATCCAACCTGGATTGGCCGTGTGCCAGGCAAATGTCCTCCCTGCTGTACTGTTGCTCCGGCCCTCTTCCCTGTCTTCCTGAAGGTCCTGTTGCCTCAGGATGTGAATGAAATCTGATGAGCCCCCGAATTACAGAGGCACCCCCAGACTTTTGGGCCAACTTCGAGGCCCTTCATCCGTCCCCCTTTCTGCTGCCTCTGCCTCTGCCCTCCTGAGTAGGCAGAGGGGTGTGTGCACGGGCTGCGCACACCGCAGTTGTCCATTCACTGATCCTCATGGTGAGCATCGTGGCACCCAGACTGTGATCTCTCCTCCGGGATGTTCCTGGAGGCAGGAGAGAACCAGCCCTCGCCTGCCCCGACCTCTGCATGCCCCAGGTCCCTGTCTCTAGCACAGCTGTTGGGAAGCTCCGCTTGGAGCATGTCTGCAAGAGGCTGAGCTCTGTCCAGTGTAAATGCTCGCCACGTGGAAGCTTCTCGTCATTCGCGGCCAGGACTGCAGTCGGTGGTAGAGCACTTGCTTTGCCCGTGGAAGGAAGCACCACAAAGCAGTGATTTCTCAGAGGGCCCCAATACCTGTGCTGTAAAGTGATGCTGCGTGTGTGTGTGTGTGCGTGTGCGTGTGTGTGCGTGCGTGTGTGTTTGTGTGTGTGTGTGTGTGTGTGTGTGTGTGTGTGTGTGTGTAGGCATCCGGGTGCCTTGGCTTTACTCCCTCTGGTGGGCAGTGCTCTGGCCCGCCCACCCGCTCAGAATCCCATCCCAGTCGTGGGGGATCAGACAGCTGCTGAGAGCGGGATCCGTTGAGTGACTCTGCTCTTTCTCCGTGTGAAATTCCTGACCCATTTTCCTGCCTATCCCATTTTTTTCTTTAGTTGGGAAGTTGTTCCCTCTGTCAGGTGTGTGTGTGGGGGGGGGAGGGTCATTGTTCCGTTTGACCTTGTTCTAAGCTTCCCAATGTGACTCCCACAAGGCAGGGCAGGCGCTTCGTTTCCAGGCCGCGTCCCCAGCCCGGGTGGGCGCCCTGCTGCACCTCAGCTTTGCATGCATGTCTCTTTCCTCTACTTCCACCGAGCAAGTTCGGGCCGGGTCTGACTCAGCTCCACAGCTCACTGGATCACATTCCATCCAGAGGTGGGGTATCCATGCTGCTCTCTCCGCGGGGCTGCCTCTGTCCGCCTCGGCTTCTGACGCCTGCAGCACCACTTTTATTTCATGGCGGCCTCTGTACATTGGGACCATCCAGTACAGTGTATAGTACATACACTGTATACGTCAGTAGTATACGCGTATACGTGGTATACGTCAGTAGCCCGGGTCTCTGGGCGGAGCGTCACTAGTGTTGTTGACGTTTTTCTTTCCTGATTTTGTTCCCCCTGTGTGGTTCCTGTCCCCCTCCCTACCACGTGTTTTGTTTCTCTCTCCAGGATATAGAATTATAGAGTGTGAAGAGTTCAGAGGGACTAGAGTTTGCCGAGTCCAGGCCCTCCATCCAACTCGTCGTGCTGATGGGATCTAGAGGGGTTTGGGGAGGGGGAGAGGGACGTGGAAGGACACGCGCAGTCTAATTATTTAAAATAGCCAACTTGAAAATAAGGAGGTTTGTGGGCTTTGGTTTGATTTTGGTTTGGGGGGGCGTGCTCAGTGGTGCTCAGGGCCTCCTCCTTACTCTGTGCTCAGGGGTCATTCCTGGTGGTATTTGGGCGCCCATGCAGGGGGCACCCCGTGCTCTTTCTCCCATACTGCCCAGTTTGGGAGAACGAATGTGCACCTGGGCATTTTAAGACGCATGAGCAAATTGGAAAGGTGGGTTTAAGGATCTCCCGACTTCTGTAGCATTAGCTCTCTAAATTTGACGCTTTGAAGTCAAGCTGCCTGGCTTCTGTCTTGGCCCGTCTCGTCCTCCCCATAAACTGCTTAATCCCGGGTAAATAGCTTCATGTGTCTCCGTGTGTCTCGCTTTCCAATCTTGTAAGCCAAGGATGATGGTACTGTGTCATTACTGTGAGGCTTCAATGACTCAGGATTGCCAGAGCATGAAAGATGGTTCTTGGCAGGCAGCAGATGCGCCGCATGTGGCGGATGTCACTGCTGTCACTGCCTGTGTCACCTCTATCAACACCCTCACCTCCGGTACTGCCCAGTCACTGTCCCCATCGCCAGCTCCGTCACCGCGCACCGTCACTGCCACCCTTTCTTTTACCATCATCACCGTTGAGTGCCACGACCAACGGGCTTTGTGGACTTTGGGGTGGAGCCTCCCCCTTGCCTCGCCCAGTTTCCCACACTGCCGCCACCCCTGTGAGCTAATGAAGTCGCTGTGGTGGAATTTTCCTGCAGGAGCAATTGAAGAAATAGAAGACCCATTAGCTTTTGCTCCTTTGAGACCAACTCATTGGGAATCCATTTCCTGTCTTATAAAAAAAAAAAGTAAATTCATTTTGTTCATTGACATTCAGTAAACAAAGTACAGCAGCTTACATTCTGGGGAATGTAATGTTTGGAGGGATTTTCTTTCCCTGAGTAAATTGCTTTTAATAATGCACCAGAGGGTAGGGGAGAAAGTGCAGTAGACTGAGTCCATCCGTGGCCTGCGGGGAGTCTGGGTTCGGTCCCCTAAGCACCGTGGGGCGTGACCCTGGAGCACAGAGCCAGGAGTAGCTGTGGGATACAGTCCATGGGGCCCCCGAACAAACCCAACAGAAACACAAAAAAAAAATGCATCTGAGTAAATGTTCTTTCTGTGTTTTCAGGTTGCAATCAAGATCATAGATAAGACCCAGTTGGATGAAGAAAACTTGAAGAAGATTTTCCGGGAAGTTCAAATTATGAAGATGCTTTGCCATCCCCACATCATCAGGCTGTACCAGGTAGGCCCAGGAGGTGCGGTGGATGGTGGCAGGGACCCCTGAGCTCTCTGGGAGGACAGAGTGGGTGGGGGGCAGCTGCCACGGTGTGTCCTGTGTTTCTGCGTCCATTCTCCCCTGCCCCCACATACTCACAGCTCCCTTCATTAACTAGGACGCTCTGCCTGACCCAGGGGTGGGCTTTCGTCACAAATTTGGTGCCACTTGGGTGCCGTTCTTAGCGAGACTTACAGGAAAAGATGATTCAGAAAGATGATGCGAACTTAGTTATTTTATTTAGGTCAGAACCCTAAAACAGAATGGGAAGCTTGAAAGGAACTGAGAATCGGGAGAGATGAAAAGCTCGATGAATAGGATATTTAAAAATACGGCGAGGGGCAGTGGGGTGGCTCCAGTGGCAGAGCACGTGCTCTGTGTGCAAGCCCCTGAGCTTCCCCCACGTCACCTCACACCCCCTGAGCACTGTTGGGATGACCCCCCCCCCAAGAAATGAAAAATAGGTTTTTAACATTAAAGTCTGTGATTATGTCATGAATTATGGTGGCAAAGTCTGGGTTTTTGTGTTCGGGGCCACATCTGGTGGTGCTCAGGGCTTCTTCCTGGGTCTGGACTCAGGGCTCACTCTTGGTGGTGTTCAGGAGACCCTATGGAGTGCCGGGGATTGAACCCAGGTTGGCCACGTGCAAGTACCCTATCCACTGACCTATCTCTCTGGCCCCCGGCAGTCTGTCTTGTGGCTGCCTTCTTCTTTCTTTTTTTCTTTTTGTGCTTTTTGGGTCACACCCGGCGATGCTCATGGGTTACTCCTGGCTCTGCACTCAGGAATTACCCCTGGCGGTGGTCAGGGGACCATATGGGATGCTGGGAATCGAACCCGGGTCGGCCGCATGCACGGCAAACGCCCTACCTGCTGTGCTCTTGTTCCAGCCCCAGTGGCTGCCTTCTTGTCTTAAGTCACAAGCGACTTCCTTCCTCATCGAGTATGTTCCTGGACTTAGTCCCCAAGTAGCATTTGACAATTTTGATATCCAAGAGTTTTGTGCGGTTAATAGCACTTGTGGTGCTCGGGGGACCATGCGGTGCTGATGACTGAGCCTGGGCCCCAGCACTCAAGCCATGGGCTTCATGAGCGAGTTCTCTGCTTCCCCAGTCTAGTTTTCTTAACTCCCCCTTCCTCCCCCTCCAGCATGCATATTTCATGCCATCATAAAAAAATGTGTTTCCCAACCCTCGCTGCAAAAGCAATAAATCTGATGGCTGGAATTTCCAGCCAGGGAGGCAGGGAAGGCCTTGCCTTTGCAGGCTGGTGGAAGCGATATTTCGGGAGAGGTGAGGCTTCGGGTCACTCCTCAAATCAGAGTGCGGTGCTAGCAGCCTCAGGCGTGGCCCTGGCCCAGAGCCAGCCATGCTTGCCACTACCTACCAGAACAGCCCCCTGAGTTCTGCGGGAAGAGGCCACCCACACCGTTCATTGGCTGCCGGGAGCCTGCAGTCAATAGTTACTGGCCCAGACATGACCGTGCACGAGGAAATCCACCCTGGAAAGAGTCCGGCCAAGTGGGAGCGGGCCAGCTCTCCCAGCTTGCTCGTTTCATGGAAAAGCGTGCACGCCTTGACGCTCGGACCTGTGGTTAAGGGCAGCGGCCGCTCCAGGATGGAATGGGTCCGCCCTCCAGGAGCAGGCCTGTTGGAATTCAGCAGCGGAAATGCTATTGAGCCCCAGAAAGCAACCTGTGTGGCTCCCGGCGTGACCTGCAGGGGGCCCCGTGTCTGCACACTCAGGCAGAGGGGCGTGACCCCCACCCGAGCAAGCCACAGAGCCCACTCTGGGCGCCTCACCATGGAAGTGGAGCCCCTGTCACTGACCCTCGGGCGATGGGGCTGACTGCTTAAGAACTCAAGGGTCACTCCTGGCAGGGCCCAGGGGACCATAGGGGAGGCCAGGGATCAAACCCCAGTGGCCACGTGCAAAGCAAGTGCCCTTCCTGCTGTCCTGTCGCTCCAGCCTCAAGACCATGAACACTTGCTCTTGGTAGTGTCTATGCCCCCAGCTCTCTGGAGCATCAGGGATCGGCTCTCTCATGGAATGACAGGAAGATCCGGAAATAGGAACTTTTTTTTTCCTGCTAAGAATTGGAAGAAAGCCCTGTTTCTCCCCTTTCTGCTTACAACGATTCAGCTCTGCCTCCCCCCTCCCCTTTGTTTATTTTATCATACGCGGGAATGGTTGTTCTCACTTTACTTGACAGAAGGGAAGTCATTAGTTTCTCTTGCTGTGCTCTCAGCCTGTCCCTTTCCTGCCTTTGCCCCAGGTCATGGAGACGGAGCGAATGATCTACCTGGTGACTGAGTATGCCAGCGGCGGGGAGATCTTTGGTAAGTGTGCCGGCACCAGGCTGTCCTTCAGCGCTGCATTTCCTATCAGTAAAGCCCTGGCACTGTGCTCGAGTGCCTCTTTGTTTCCCGGCAGAGCTCGTCTCAGGGAAGTGGGGGTGACCGCGGTGGCCCAGGAACATCTCCTCTCTTCCGGCCTGGGGCCTCCTTCTGTGGAGTGAAAGGAGTCACAGCCGTCAGATGACCCTCGTTAAGCTGTTGCAGGGGCCTGCTCCTCACTGTTGGTGACAGTGCCAGGGAGCCGGTCACTGCAGAGGGACTGATGGTCTTTGGTAGCTGTGTCCTGCGGTCAGACAGGGCATCGCAACAAGCTGGACAGCTTGTCCCCAGGAAATCTGGGTTTCTGATGTGCTAGTGCCTCACAGGCTCCTGGCTTTTTGTTTTGTTTTGTTTTGTTTTGGGGGCCACACCTGGTGATGCTCACGGCTCACTCCTGGCTCTGCACTTGGTGTTGCTTGGGATGGGATGCTGGGGATCAAACCCAGGTTGGCCGCTTGCAAGGCAACCATCCTCCCCACTGTACTATTGCTCGTCTCCCTGGCTTTTGTTTTGTTTTGCTCCCCCCTCCCCCCCCCCCCCCAGCTTTTCCTTTTGGTATTTGAGAAATGGAAGCTTTAAACTTCAGGTCTGTAAGTCTTTGCAGCGCCCCCCTCCCCCCTTATTTTGTTGCTACCTATAGAGAAACCTTACTTCTAAAATAATTTAGGTTTTTCTTAGTTTCCTTGAGCCCTTTATTTTGGTTTAGAGCTGGATGACAAGGACTTGAGCTTTATTTTAGAAATAATGGTACTAACTCAAAATATATTTAAAAGCATGAAATCATTTCTAAGATGGAATCTTCTTTTGACTGATTGGTTAGTGGTAACTGCATCTTGCGGGGGCATCTGCGTGTGCACTGCACTTTCCCTGGAGAGTCTTCATGCTGAGTCCATACAGATCTCTGAAAGGAGATGCTGGTGCTGAGTGTTTCAAGATTGACTTTGTGTATTTGCACACGGAGGAGATTCTGAGAGAAAGAGCCTCTCGGCTCAGGACAAAACAGCACAATGCATACTGATCTGGGTCTAAGGAACACAGATTTTTCTTTTTTTTTTTGAAAACAGATTTTCAAAGTTACAATAACAACCCCTGGTCATAGATTCTTTGTGGCAATGTAACTCAAGGAAACACAGTACCATAAAGATGCCGATAAGGACAAATGTGTGTCCCCTAAAGCCATCGTCATCCTGAGGACTGAGTCTCTGATGTTTGAGTGTTGGTAGAAAGGAAGGGCTTAATCTAGAACATCCGCTTTGGAAGCAGTCGTACCTGGTTTTGATTCTGATCTTTGCCACTGGAATTTTTGTTTTACTTGGAGCAAGTCACAGAATTATTCTGACTCTCAGTTTCTTGGTCTGTACAAGTATTCGGGTCAGTAATTGCCATGGAGTCGTGAAGACTCACTGGGGTGTTAATTGAGTCTGGTATGTTGCTCCTTCCCCATCGTGTCAAAATGTAGTTGGGAGAGGCTGGGGAGATGGTTCAAAGGGTGGGAGTGCATGTCTAGCATGCACGTGGTCCCGTTTGGTCCCCAATGCTCCCTCGTGCCCCAGCACCTCTGCCGGTATAGCCCAGGGGCCCCGGCTCTGCTGACCCCGTCAGCACCTCCTCGGAACTGCACCCTGCACCGGCAGCCTGCAGTGCAGAAGCAGGCCTAAACCCTGACCCCTGGGACCTGCTTGGGAAGTTGCCTCTGCAGAAGGGACAGAAAACATGGTGCTGGACTTCGAGACCCAACACTGCCCCAAGTGACCACCCAGCACCCAGCAGGGAGGCGCCTCTGAGAACCTTTATGTCTTGTCCTCAAACCAAAACAAAAGAATTATTATTATTATTATTATTTTTTAAATTTTTTATTAGTGAATCACCGTGAGGTACAGTTACAGATTTGCATATTTTTGTGCTTGTGTTTCAGTCATACAATGCTCGAGTACCCATTCCTCCACCAGTGCCCATTCTCTACCCCCCATGATCTCAGTATCCCTCCCCCCCCCCCCACCCCTCCTCCCACCCCTGCCTCTGTGGCAGGGCATTCCCTTTTGTTCTCGCTCTCCTTTTGGGTATTGTGGTTTGCAATAGAGGTGTTGGGTGCCCATTGTGTTTGATCTATGGTCTACTTTCAGCAACGCATCTCCCATCCCAAGCGGGTCCTCCAACCACACTTTACTTGGTGTTCCTTTCTCTATCGGAGCTGCCTAAAAAAAATTCTTTAAGAAATAGAAAGCGAATCCCCCAAGGCCCTCTTATGTGGGAGCCCTTCAGTAACATCTTGGAGAATCTGAAGAGAAATGAGCAACTGGGCTTTGTGACCACTTGCCACGTGGCTGCCTGTCCCCTCAGTGAGGGGGGCTGCACCCCACTACCACCCCACCTTCCTTCCCAGGGCCCCCAATTTCTCCTCACCCTGGGCCAGGGTAGCCGAGGTGTGAGCCCCGCCCCCTCCCCTCCTGCCCCTCCCAACATCCCACTTGCCGGGGGACCAGGGCATTCACAGGGAACAACCCCCCCCCCCCCACCCCGTCCCCTATCCACTCTGGCCTTCTAAACCCTGGTGTGAGGATCTGCCTGCAGGGAAGAAGCCGCCTCAAGCAGACAGTTGCTCAGTTCTTCCAAAGGAAGACACTTCTGCTGTACAAACCCCCAGTCCAGCCCCCCTCAAAAATCGACTTCCAGCCCCCAGGCAGTGGCGAAAGGCCTTGGAGGTCCAGGCCAGCTGAGCTGGGAGCCAGCCGGGAGAGCGGGCAGTCACATCTCCCAAGGTCTTCCTGGAGTCAAAACAGAAGCCCGCCCTGCTCTCTGGAAACTCGTCCTTCAGAGCCACCAGAACGTGAGGGGGGTTGTTTCTAGAACAATGTATGCCCTGGGGCATTGTTGGAACTGGAGAGTGACCAGTGGCCTTGGTGGGGAATGAAAAGCCGGGTGTGGCCCTGAAAGGCCGGAAGTGGGGCCTGCCCAAAGCCTGGACCCTGGCTGGGGGTGGGGTGGGGGGTCACACAGTGGCTCTGCAGGAGGGGCACCTCTCCCAGGAGCGGCAAGGCCAAGACGGTGGCGGCAGCAGACGTCACTGCAGGGGCCCCGCAGGCAGCACTCGCCGCCACAAGATGCCCCGCAGTGCCTGCGTGCACACCCAGAGGAATCGAAGTATCCTCTCCACAATGTCTAGTTTCCAACAACAGCAAAAAACTATGAGTCATACAGAGAAATAGGAAAATATGACCCATATGCTGAGAACAATCAGGCCCCGAGACTGCCTTTCAGAGGCATCAGAGATTTGATTTACAGAAAAAAAGACAATAAAATGGGCCTCGTAGACGCGATCAGGGAAGGAAAGCAGTGAAGGAGGAACTGACGACGGTTCACGGAATAGGGATTTTTCAGTAGAGTGAGGAGTGGTTTTGAAAAATGAACCAAAGCGAAATTATGGACTTGAAAAATAGAATAACATAAACGTATTTTTCTTAATTTTATTTTATCTTGGTTAATTGTGATTTGGGGGGCCACTCCCCGCTGTGCTCAGGGCTTACTCGTGACTCTGTGCTCAGGGATCACTCCTGGCAGGCTGGGGGACCTGATGGGATGCTGGGGATTGAACTCGGGTTGGCCACGTGCAAGGCCAGCTTTACTATCTCTCCAGCCCGAAGAGACAAGGATGAAAGTAACAGGAGAAAAATAACTCATGACATACAGGGGAATATCAGTGATTTGTAGCTGAGTTCTCATCAGAACGGAATGTGGACCAGAAATCAGTGAAGCAACATATTTAAGACGCTGAAACAAACTTCTGTACATCCTCAACTCCATGTCTTAAAAAACTGTTCTTCCAAGTGGAGATAAAATGAAAATACTGCTAAGAAAAACAGAGAGGAAGAGAACTTCTTGTGAGCACACCTGTTCTAGTAAGGTGTTCAAGGAAGCACTCGGGCTAGAAGGAAATGCAGCCAAGTAACATATTTGCAAAAAGAAATGAGGAAAATAAGAACAGATGAATAGAAAGTGAAAATATATTGTAAGTACAGTTCCCTTTAATTTCTACAAAGACAGACAGATGCTAAAGAAAGAAGAGGAAAAAGACATAAAAAGTTTAATGAGTAATTACAGTATTTCATTCCTGTTTTCTATCATGTATTAATTTAAGAGATACTTAACAGAGGATGGGAAAGAAGTGGAGTTATATTGGAGTAAGTTGCTGCATTTTCCCAGAGTTAAGTTAGTATTAAGCTGGTGTATACTGTGATAACTTAAGATGCACATTACAATCTCTAGAGCACTGCTGAGACGTCAGCAACAGTGAATGCAGCTGACCCTGGTTCGATCCCCAGCCCCACATATACCCCCCGACCCCTCCAGCACTGCCAGGAGGGACCCTCAGCACGGAACCAGCAGTAGACCCGAGCAATGCTGGGCATTGTCCCCAAACAACAAGAGAACCAGCCACCTTGATGCTGGACCCCGAGTTTGATTATTGGCTCCAGGTTTCCCCCACCAGCCCTCCCGGGTGTCACCCGCATCATTGGGCTGAAGCACCTGATCATCCACCCCACACAGCCAGGACAGGTATTGCCGGGAGAGGCCCCAGGCCCCTGAGCTTGCTTGGGCCACCCCCTCACTTTAGCACTCTGCTTTGAGGACCCCGCGTCCTAGATGGCTCCTGAGAAGCAGGCATTTCCTGGGGAGGTGGGCTCGGGGCTGTACGGGGTGTGTTTATGGGTTAAATGAATCTTGTCTGTGTTCGGTGTTTGATTTGGGCCTGTCACTTCTATTTATCTAGAAGGACCAGAGAAAAGGTGGATTGAAGGGAGAGTGGAGGTCTCAGGGAGCATTCCTCCAGAAGATAGAATGGATAGGTAGGTCTTTAGTGCAGACACAGAGGGATTTGTTCGTGTTTACAGCAACGTCACTTATAATAGCTAAAAACTTTGCTTATTTACTTTGGTCAAGCGAGA